TTTTTTTTTTTTTTTGATCATTTTCATCTTCTTTGGCATTATCCACTTTTTTCTGTATTTCATAGTTGGAAATTGTGATCAGAATGAAAAAAATAATAATTTTAGCTGTGGAGCCCTGCTGAACAAGTGACAAATATCCCCTGCAGCTATACAACCATGTACGACAAGTAAAAAATAACCAGGAGCATCCTTACCCCAAATATTAGAGAATGCGACTTCAGTGTATAATAATTAGATTTACTTTATACTACATAGTGGTGGCAATCAAAGGCAGTATTACCTCTCACTACAATTTGATAGCCCTTCAGCACTCCATTTGATGTAGCTGGTGGTTCCCAGATGATTTTAATTTGTGACGTGGATTTGTTTAAAACTCTGAGGCATTGGGGTGCACTGGGGACTAAAACACAAGATGCCATGATAATGATATAATGAATGTTACTAAAAGTTCAAACCACTGAAAAATGCTCACTATTCAATAATTAAAACTTGTCTACACACAGCTTATATTAACAAAAAATGAAACAGTTGATGTCTCAAATTTACCTGATTCTAGAGTAAAGACGGAAACAACTTTGCTTTGTGGACTATCATCTCCTTCAGTAGAGGCTTGCAGATGGAAACTGTACCTTGTGACTGGTGTAAGATCACTTGTTATGTAACTTGTTCTTGGACCAGAGTAAACCACTTTCCCATCTGAACAATCAATTGAGAACAACAAATGATTTATCTAGTATTCAGTATCCCAATGATTCAGACCAGAGGTCGTGAAAAATTTGACAATTCATTTTATTTCAAAATTTGTGGTATAGTATATGATAGCCAGCTCTATAAGCTTTAATTTAATATAGGGATTAAGGCCCAGTTCATACGTCGCATTTCTGCCGTGTCGAATTCAATTCAACGAATTAAATTCGACAGAAATNATCAGCTATATCATAGAGATTTGACCTTACCTTGAAAAAGCAGATAGGTAACATCAAGTCCACTCTTGGGGTGAATAGCATCCCAGGTCACAATAATGCTATAGGCACTCTCCACTTAACACAAAACAAATGCATTCAAGAAATTAATAGACAGCAATGAACTACAGAAAGAGTTGACTTATTAACTCTCATATGCCATGTTCAAGTCTAATGTTCAAGTCTACACCCAGTCAAACAATTAGACAGACTACAGTTTGCCATGCTAGAGTTGTAATATTTATAATATTAATATCTGTTACAATATACCTGATACACTTGGGGATCTCCTTTGGAAAACTACAATGAGTTTACAGAGATCTTCCTCCTACTATAGTTACTTTACAAATCAAAGTGATGTGTAAGTTAGAAAATAGGCAGATTACATTGTCAGTATTTACCTTTGTCTGTCTGTCTGGTAACTTCATGCACAAACTTAAAAATATACTATGCAACTTTTCTAAGGATTGACCCAAACAATGGAAGTCACATCTTACAGACAATGCTTTTTTAATTACAACATTAATCTTTGACTGTATTGATACAAATGCCAACCTTTAACATTAGGTGGTGTAGGTTTAGGCAATTTTTCCAAAATTGCTAAAGTTGCTTCAGCTTCTTCTCTAGTATCCTCTTTCAGGCTTGGTCTCTCTAAGAGATCCTACCAAAGAGCAAAATTATCAGCTTAGTTTATTTGAACCTTTTTACATTCTTCCCAAATTTTCTTGTAGGATATCATGATATTCCAAAGGGGAATTTAAATCCCAGATTTTAAGTGACTTTGCAAAGCTGTGGTCTGAGAAAAATTAAGAGCAGCCCAAAGGTTCTTAACCAAGAAATCCTGGGTGCCCAGTACTTAAGCTTATATGAAAAAAGTGAGTTTTTCCAGTTGCTTAAAGACAAAAGTTAGGCACCTGTGGCACCCGGGTGCCTCTAGAGCACAGCCCTGCAAATGTATAACCTCATATGGGAGAATTTGACTTATAAACCCTTGTTCTTCTTATTCTTAATTAAGGCATTAATTTAAACTTTCCTTATAGAACTTTTATTAATTTTCTTTTTCCTTTTTCATTGTGTTTATTAAACAAACAATTTTGAATGAACCAAACACGTAACTTCAAAATAGTTTTAGTCACTTCTCCATGCAGCCTCAGAATAAAGATAACTTTGAGGCAAGGCTGTGGTCTGAGAAAAATTATGAAGTACCCAAGGGTTCCCAACCATGAACTCCTGGGTGCCCAGCACTTAAGCTTATATGAAAAAAGTAAGTTTTTCCAGTCAACCAAAAGCAAAAGTTAGTCACCTGTGGCACCCAGGTGCCTCTAGAGCACAGCCCTGCTTTGAGGCATCGCTCTTCAATTTTACTAAAGATTAAAGAAACAAGTAATGACCCACCTGCAATGACTGCTCTACATTAGGCTGAGTCCTCAAAAACAAACAACCACTTTTCTGGCAAGCAAAAGTATGCAGCATCCTTGAAGGAAACAGTACATTGAAATAACACTGAGGTAGCAAGTGGTGGCAATAGGAGAAATGCAAACGTAACAGGAGAAACATGGTGGTGATGTCACCAGTCAAAAATACTTACATGGATGAAAACCATATGCTTTCTTCATCCTTAGAAGCGAGGAGAGAACAAAGCACCTCTACGACACCATTGATCCTTTCATGTTCTCGTAGTCGCTGATGCCCCTGAGCTAAGGACCCAATGCAGCTCAAAGCAAAGCAAGCATTCTTGCAGCATCCAGAGTCACTTGAGTGCAGCATGTCAATAAGTGAGTTGATCTGTTTGAAAAAGTTGAATGTTCCTTTTCAGCCACCATGGTCCAGTTTGCCATACAATAAAATATGTTGGCCAATATGGATGCTTCATTACCAGACAAATATTTTCAGTACACTAAAAACACTATTTAATGGGACACTCTCAGGACAACTGGAAGTGTCCTCGAATTAAAGGTGTCCACAAGCTCTCCACAATCATAGTCAATAATAAAGAAGAGTAACAAATGGCCAGACAGTACTAGCCAACTATCTACGAACTGAAAGACCATTAAAAAAAAAAGACAAAAACAAACAGTAGTCAGATATTTTTTCCCACAATACACTTAGGCAATCAGTTAATTTATCAATGGATTGCAGATGCTTTGGAAGGTCACTGAACCCAGCCCAATAAGAAACATAGAAATGAGGTGTGGTTGCCTTTTTGAATGATTGTTACTATTAAAGTACGTAGTTTGCTGCCTGTTCTATAAAATCATTCTAAGGCTAACAAACATTAATGGTAA